TAAGATCACAGAAAACAGGTGATTTCAAAATATGCAAAACAACCACTCTGAAAGAATAGAGAAATTCCAAGCGCTTTCGTGACTACTCGCATTATCAAGGAACTATGAAAGTGAAGCACTTTTTATAATCCAAAAAAGGGCAACCAGCCTTATTTAACATATTTTTAGTTGAATAAGGCTGGTTGCCCTTTTTTGGATTATAAAAAGTGTTCCTTTTAAAAGTTGCTAGGAACACTTTTTATAATCCAAAAAAGGGCAACCAGCCTTATTCAACTAAAAATATGTTGGTTCTCCCGTACCATGAAAACTTGGTTGATATGCCTTCTCTTCTTAAGACTTTTAATATTAAAGTTGTATTCAAAAATCTTGATACAGTAAAAAAAACTTTTGATTAAGAATTCCCCCCAAAATGCTGATGGATGTGTCTATAAGAATCCTTGTAAAATTTGCGATAAAGTTTATTACGGTCAAAACTGGTAAAAATCCTCGAACTAAGATTAAAACAACAAAATATAGCATTAGAACTGGACAAGATTCAATGCTCTATTTATTCATGTAAGAGATTTAACCATCCAATTGATTTCAAAAAGTTGAAGTAAAGTAAGTACAAGCAAGTCCATGGTCGACAGGAATATAATTTAAATCTTGTTTCATAAAAAAGCAGTTTTTACAATAATAAGAATATTTTCCTTGGTTTTATAAATTAGATCCATTTATACATTAATAGCATTTGGGTAGAATTTAATATAATACACTGTACAAATGAAAAGCTTGGGGGGTGAGTTCTTTGCAAAGGACCTATCCAAGTTGCTCGCCGCGCGTCCACGTGTTTAACCGTTGTGGGATCTGATAGTCAGGTGCTGGCCGACCCTTAAAATAGCTTCCTTGATGCATCACAGTTCATATTCCTTGATTACTGTAGTAGTCACGAAAGCGCTTGGAATTTCTCTATTCTTTAGAGTGGTTGTTTTGCATATATAATATATATATATATATATAATATATATATATATAAAAATATATAATATATAATATATATGCGGAGCAATGGGCTAGTAACCCCCTCTCCGTAGACATTTACTATAAAAGAAAAAGAAGAAAAACTTTATAAAACTGGGATGCTTAAATGTGCGTGGATGTAGTGCGGTATGACAAGAAAACAGATGATTGCTGGATGTTATGAATAAAAAGAAGTTGGATGTCCGGGCCCTAAGCGAAAAAAAGCTAAAGGGGGGTAGGAGATTTCAGGGGGGGGAAAAAAATGGGATTAAATCTGGGTATCTGAGAATTTAGAACAAAGGAAGGGTAGCGTAATGTTAAATGAACAGTTAGGAATGAAAAAAGAATTAAAAAGTGTAAATTCAAAAATTTAGTGGAAAAGAAAAGGGTTTGGGATGGAGAATGGGTCAAACAGCGGTATCCACCGGAGAAGAGGGGAATGCAGAGGGAGAGAGAGATTTGGGAGAGTTAAGTAAATGAAATGGGAGCCTTAACCCAAAGGGAGAGGTAATTTGGGGGGGGACCTAATGCGAAGTAGGAGAAACTTTTAGAGAGGTGTGTAGGTAAGTTTGGGGCCCCCGGTGTAAATGATAATGGGACCCTTTATTAAATTTTGTATAGAAAGGGGTTTAGTTTGGGTAATACATATTTTAAAAAAGAGGATAAATAAGTATACAAAATGTTGAGGGAAAAATACAGTAGTTTGTTGGTTATGTTTGGAAATAAAAGACTGTTGGTAGATTTCCAGGTTTAAAAAGTTTATAGAGGGGCCACAGAATATCAGCACTTTTTTTGTAGCAGCTACACTGAGAAAAAAAGGAGAGGGGATCAAGGAGAATAGAAGCATCGGGGAAGGAGGGTAAGGGTTTTAACAAAAAAGGGGGAGGCAGTTGGGTAAGTATAAACAGTTGGAGGAAAAGGGCTAATGAGAGCTGGCAATGGGGTCGAAGAGGAGGGGGTAGGTTTAAAAATGTAGTTTTAGAGGTTCAGAAGAATTTTGGTTCAGGGAAATGGGGGGGAGGGGGGAAGAGGACGTTGGTGGGAAAGATGATGTAAGGGGAGTATAAGGGAGAAAAAATTGCATAAAAGGTTTTTACAAAGTAGAATGTGCAAGCAGGGAAGAGTATTGGGAAAAAAAAAGAGAGGTTTAAAAGAGGGTGAAGCAATTAAAAAAGAGCAAATAGAGAGTGGTGAATGTTATCAACAAATTTGTTGAAAAAAGAAAAGTTTTGGGTGAGATTTAAAAATTAAGAAAGCCCCGAGAACAAAAGGATTTGTCGTTAAAAAAAGGAGAGGAAGTTATTTAAAAAAAAGGGGTTTGAGGTTTTTGGGAAATGGGGGAATATTTTGAGGAATTGTTAAATGTTGATGAAGATAGGGAAGCTGTGATTTCGTGTACAGGGCAAGGAGGAATAACATCTTGTAGGAGTGAGGAAGAGCCAGTTGTGAGTGGGGGGAAGTTCGTGAGGCAGTAGGTAAAATGAAAGGGGGTAAGGCAGCCAGGATTGATGGATAAAGAAAAGAAATGTTAAAAGCAGGTGGGATATAGTTTTGGAGTGGTTGGTGCAATTATTTAAAAAATGTATGGAAGAGGGTAAGGTCCTAGGGATTGGCAGAGAGCATGCATATTCCTTTGTATAAAGGAAAAGGGGGGATAAAAGAGAGTGCAAAAATTATAGGGGGATAAGTCTGTTGAGTATACCTGGTAAAGTGCATGGTAGAGTTATAATGAAAGAAATTAAGAGTAAGACGGAGAATAGGATTGCAGATGAACAAGGAGGCTTTAGGAACGGTAGGGGTGTGTGGACCAGGTGTTTACAGTAAAAACATATAAGTGAACAGTATTTAGATAAGGCTAAAGAGGTCTTTGTGGCATTTATGGATTTGGAAAAAGGGGTATGACAGGGTGGATAGGGGGGCAATGGCAGATGTTGCAATGTATGGTGTAGGAGGGAGGTTACTGAAAGCAGTGAAAAGTTTTTATGAGGATAGTGAGGCTCAAATTAGAGTATGTAGGAAAGAGGAAATTTTTTCCAGTAAAAGAGGCCTTAGACAAGGAGTGTGATGTCACCGTGGGTTTTTTAATATATTTATAGATGGGGTTGTAAGAGAAATAAATGCGAGGGTCTTGGCAAGAGGCGTGGTGTTAAGAATCACACACAAAATGGAAGTTTGTCACAGCTGCTCTTTGCTGATGACACTGTGCTCTTGGGAGATTCTGAAGAGAAGTTGCAGAGATTGGTGGGTGATTTTGTAGGGTGTGCAAAAGAAGAAAAATTTAAAAATGATACAGGAAAGAGTAAAGGGAATGAGGATAACAAAAAGATTAGGTGATGAAAGATTGGAAACACATTGGAGGAGAGAGTAGGGGGAGGTGAACGTATTCAGATATTTGGGAGTGGACGTGTCAGCGGTAGGTCTATGAAAGATGAGGTGAATCATAGAATTGATGAGGGAAAAAGAGTGAGGTGCACTTAGGAGTCTGGGAGACAAAGAACTTTGTCCTTGTGGAGGCAAAGAGGGAATGTATGAGAGTATAGTTTTACCAAAGCTCTTATATGGGTGTGAAGCATGGTGATGAATGTTGCAGCGAGGAGAAGGCTGGAGGCAGTGGAGAAAGTTATGTCTGAGGGCAATGTGTTGGGGTGAATATAATGCAGAGAATTCGTAGTTTGGAAGTTCGGAGGAGGGTGCGGGATTACCAAAACTGTTGTCCAAAGGGGGTGAGGAAGGGTTGTTGAGGTGGTTCGGACATGTAGAGAGAATGGAGCGAAACAGAATGACTTCAAGAGTGTATCAGTCTGTATGGAAGGAAGGCGGTGTAGGGGTCGGCCTAGGAAAGGTTGGAGGGAGGGGTAAAGGAGGTTTTGTGTGCGAGGGGTTTTGGACTTCCCGCAGGCATGCTGAGCGTGTTTGATAGGAGTGAATGGAGACAAATGGTTTTTAATACTTGATGTGATGTTGGAGTGTGAGCAAAGTACATTTTTGAAGGATTCAGGAAAAACCGGCAGGCCGGACTTGAGTCCTGGAGATGGGAAGTTACAGTGCCTGCACTCTGAAGGAGGGTGTAATGTTTGCAGTTTAAAACTGTAGTGTAAAGCACCCTTCTGGCAAGACAGTGGTGGAGTGACATGATGGTGAAAGTTTTTCTTTTTCGGGCCACCCTGCCTTGGTGGGGAATCGGCCAGTTGATAATTTTTATAAAAAAAAAAATAATTAATAAATAATATATATATATATATATATATATATATATATATAATATATATATATATTATATATATATATATATATATATAGTATATATATATATCTGCAGTGGACCCCTGTTAACGAAATTTTTTCATTCCAGAAGTTTGTTCAGGTCTCCAGTACTCAAACCGAATTGTTTCCCTATGGAATATTGTGGGAAGTAGACTAGGTCCATTTCAGACCCCCAAAACATAACAACGTAGAAATGCCCCCCCACCAAAAAAACTTACATTAATTTACCCTTACATAAATTGGTCGCCATTTGGGGAGGTGGATTCGTTAAGCGGGGGGTCCACTGTATATATTAAGATTATATATTATATAATTAAATATTATATATATATTATATTTATATATATATATATATATATATATATATATATATATATATATATATTACCTTGCTTCACAGGGCAGGGGGAGACATTTGTCACAAGAGTGGAGAGTAAAGTAAGACATGAAAATATATCACTTATAAAGCTGACACTCATTTATTAACACTTCTTGTTCTATTTACCAGTGTTGTAGAGAAGCAGTACCACCAGCTGTACCATCAGTGTACCACCAGCAGTACTACTAGCTGTACAGCTAGCAGACCATCAGCAGTACCGCCAACAGTACCACCACACATCAGCACTACTACCACAGCAGTATTTAGGCTATTTCATAAACTCTGTGGTTATTACTGGGCCAATTTTTAAATTTTTTTTTTTTTTAACATCTTTATTATTTTAAAATTTTTTTTATAAATGGGCCAAATCACTTTCTCAGATCATCCTCAGCAATATATCAGTAATTTAGGAAACTAGGAGTTAAGTATTCCTTGTTTATAGTGCTAGTGATTATTTCCCAACAAGTGAGGGTGACCCACAGAAGAAACCTTGTTGATCCTCACTTACTCTCTAATAACATTGTTTACTATTATTTCTCGCCGTGCAAACTCTTTGATCAATACACTTGTGTATATGAGCTGGGACATGTTGTGTGCAGCTTGTGCACGTGTCGTGTTGACTAAAGTAAATTACGCACCATTACTTGAAAATCAGTACTGGATAGGCCTCTTATCTATCCCCCTCCTCTCTTCCATAATATCTACTCCATAATATCTACTACTTTCCTCTTTTGCCAGGGCTATTATAAAATATTGGCAGTTTACAGTCCACCTCACAGTGTCCACAAGAAAAGTGCAAAAGTCTTTTTTAAGATGAAAGGTCTTTCAGGATTTGAATTAAATCAGTGTCAGTCTGTTTAATACTTGCCATATCAAATAACACTAGCACTAGCCATATCAGTACAAACAGTGTTAAATAGTTTCTCCTCTAAAACCTATTTTTTTCAATAAACCTCATGTATAATATTAACGAATATAATATCGACAAATAAGACTTCATCCAAGTAAAAACCTACATGACCATTTATTGTTAATAGGACAATTTAAATCAAATTTCCATGTTCATATATAAGATATACTGTCATTGTGCATGAAAGTTACTTAAAGGAATGCTCTTTTTAAACAAGAAAGTTCATACAAGGGAGAGAGCCTATTCATGTGTTCATCATAACTAAAAGACAGAAATAATTGAGATTTGGTTTTATATAACATTATAGAGGATAAATATATAGAGCTCATGACAGATATTTTTCAGATTCAAACAGATGTAATTCAGGATGGCAACTAAGAGAGGAAGAAAGTTATATCAGTGTTCAGATTGTCTGAAAGACTTTCAACGACATCCAGATCTAGTTAAACATATGGAAATTCATGCATTGGAGAAAAAATATAAGTGTTATGTGTATCTACAAGATTTTGTAAAGGATTCACATCTAGTAAAACATTCAGGTGTTAATAAAGGAGAGAAACAATATTGCTCAGAGGATGCTAGTAAATGCTCAAGTCAGTCAAATATGCTGATACATAGCACACTTCATAAACCACTGAAAAAACAACAACAGAGTTCACAGTGTCGGAAAAATAGTTCTAATAAGAGAAGTCACGATCAGCATATGAGAGTTCATAATTTGAAAAAATTACATCAGTGCTCAAAGGAGGAGGAGCCAGAATGTTCAGATAAGTCCAGTTTTACTACAGACATGAAAGTTCACACAAAAGAGACATCAAATCAGAGTTCAAAGTGTCTAAAAGACTTTTCTAATAAGGAAAGCCTAGCTAAAAATATTACTCAGTGCTCAGAGGAGACAGAATGTTCAGATAAATCAAATTTGGCCACAAACATGAAAGTTTGTAAAACAGAGACATCAAATCAGGGTTTAGAGAGTCTTAAAGGCTTTTCTGCTAAGGAGAGTCCAGGTAAAAACATTACAGTTAATACAGTAGACAAACCATTTAAGTGTTCACAGTGTCCAAAGACTTATTTAGTACATGGATATCTATTACAACATACAAGAGTTCATACAGGAGAGAAACCATTTAAATGCTTATTTTGTCCAAAGAAATTTTCACTTCATCAAACTCGACAACGACATACAAGAATTCATGAAAAGAACGGATCACATTCAGGAAAATCAAATTTGATTCCACATGACCTAGCCCAAACAGAAAAGAACACGTACAAGTGTTCGGAGTGTCCAAAAAGCTTCAGACGATATTCAAATCTAGAAAAACATAACAGATTTCACACAGGAGAGAAACCACATCAATGTTCAGTGTGTCTAAAAAACTTTACTTTAAATCCACACCTGTTAAAACATTTAAAAACTCATATACGTAAGAAGCAAACTCCCAGCTCAGAAAGTACACAAGACTCTTCAAATAATGCAAATTTGACTTTTTTTTTTTTTTTAAAAACAGGTGTTCAAGTTTATACAAAAGAGAACACAGATCAGAGTTCAACATCTAAAATCAATTCTCATAACAAAGAAGGCAGTGGTCAGCAAACTGAAGTTGAAATAAGAGATAAATCATACATTTTCAGAGATCATACAAGACTTATCACAACGGACAGAGCCAGTAAAGCAATGAACTTCGTCTCCATTTGGTGGTGAAAATTTGTATTAAACAGTGGGTGTTACATATTAAACAGTGCGGTTACATTTAACAGCAGAGTTACCTACAAACAGTGCTGAGTGTGTTAAGTGTGTGCTTTTAAAATGTTGAATTAAAACAAGCATTCAAACTTTTCGATTGGAAAAGGGGAAGAGTTAAGATTGTTGTTTGGTCATGTTACAGAGGTGAATTCCCATTCCCTATTGAGTATGGGTGGGGGGTTGTGGGTGTGGGTGTGTGTGTGTGTTGTGTTGGGGTGTGTTTTGGTGTGGTGTTTTTGTGTGTTGGGGGTGTGTGTGTGTGGGTGTGTGTACTCACCTATTTGTGGTTGAGGGTTTGAGTCAAGCTCCTGGCTCTTCTTTTTTAAAGGGCGCTGTAGATTCTTTTTTCCTCTCCAGAGTTTATCATCTTGTTTAAAACTGTATATGGTTCCTGCCCATAGTCAATTGCCAGATTTTCCCACTTCAGACAACTTATGATAAAGAATACTCAAACAACAATTTTTGACTCATCTAAAGTCTTCCTTAAATTGTGACCCCTTGTTTCTGTGTCCCCCTCTCGGGAACATCCTGTCTCTGCCCAAAATTTTTTACAAGTATCTGAAATGTTTATATGTCCCCCCTGCCCCTTTGTCCCCAGTGTTGTCAGTCTGTTTTCCCCCAAACCCTTTCATGTGGGACTTCCCCGAGTTCTGGAATACCCGTGTTGAAAAACCTTTGTTTTTCTCTAACTTTTAAAGTGCTTGACCAGGTGGGGTTTAAAAATGGTGTGCTTTCTCGGTGGGGGGCCTGATGCAAACGGTGTACGAGTCTTGAATGTTTTCTTACGGGGCTTGGAACGCTATTCTCAGGTTTGCCACCCGCCAATGTGCTGCAGGATATTGTTTGATGTAAACTTTGGGAGTGCTTGGTTTTATCCCCAAGATTTTTTCCTTGAGTGAGGTTTGCAGTTTTTTGGCCACTACCCTATCTCTGTCTGCAATCTTCTTTGCCCTTTCCCCCATTTCTTGACTTTGATTTGGCGGGTTTAAAATTTTTGGGGACCCAGTTGTTGGCCCAGGTTGATCCTGTTGGTCTTTTGTAGCCTGCCTGATCCTCATCGATTTAATTCCCCTCTTAAAATTAAATCTTGCAAGCAAGAACTTGGTCTATCCCTTCCATATGTCTTTCACATATACCAAAATAGAATGGCCCAGGTGACCCTTTCCTCTCCATCAGCATTCACTTTACCAAAAAAATAGCACTGGCCGGACTGACCCTTGTGGAACCCGTCGTCCCGGTGCCCATCTGACCCTCGTCACGTTCATGACTCATTTTTACCTCCATCGGTATTCTTGACTTGCAGTGCCCTTCCTGTTATGCATGCCCGATGCTCTAGCTTTTTTCATAATCTTTATGAAGAACTGTGCGAAGACCTTCTTGCAGTCCAAAAAAATCTACCTACCCCCGTTCTTGTGTTTTTTCTGGCCTTGTCATAAAACCCAGTAAGTTTGTGACACAGGATTTTTCCCAAGTGACCCCTCACTCTTTTTTCCCCCATCAATTCTATGATTTACCTACTTTCTAGACCCATTGCTGACACGTCCATCCAAAAAACTGAAAACATTCCCCCCTCCCTACTCTTCCTCCAATCTGAATTCAAACTTTATCACCTAATCTTTTTTTATCCTCATAACCTTATCTTTCCCGTATTACTTTAATTTTTTTCTTTTTCACACCCTACCAAATTCATCCACCCAATCTCTGCAATTCTCTTCGAATCTCCCAAAAAAACACAGTGTCATCAGCAAGAGCAGCTGTGACAAACTCCCCCTTTGTATGTGTTCTTTTTCTTTTTAACCCCGCCTTTGCCCGACCCCCGCATTTACTTTTTTTTAAAACCCCCTCTATAAAAAATATTAAACAACCACGGGGAAAATCACCATCCTTGGGCTAAGGCCTACTTTTTTGGGAAAAATTTTCCCCCTTTCAATACTCTTACGAGCCTCATAAACCTCGTAAAAAAATCCTTAATGCTTTTTAGAAAAAACCTTAAAATACCTTGAAACTGCCCACATTTCCCCCTATCCAAATGCATAGCCTTTTTTCCCAAAACCTTAAAGCCCCAAAGCCTCTTTTTTAATTTAAATTAGTTCACTTTAGTTTCACGAACATGGCCCCCCAACCCCCCCTTATATATTATTTATATTTTATATAATATATATATATATATATTATAATATTATATTTTTATATATATATATATATTTATATATATAAGTAGGTTTAGACGGGATGTGTTGTCACATGGTTGTTTTAAATTTTTTTTATAGATGGGGTTGTAAAAAAAGTAAAGCTAGGGGTTCGGGGAGAGGGGGTGGGATTAAATTATGGGGGAATCAAATTCAAAATGGGAAGAACAGTTACTTTTTGTGATGTACTTGCTTTGGGAGATTCTAAGAAAAGTTGAAAAGGTTTAGTGGTTGAGTTTGGAGTGTGTGTAATGTAAAAAGTTAAAAGAAAACATAGAAAAGGAAAAAGGTTTTGGGTGGTTCGATGATTTGAAAAAGAAAATTGGGTTAAATTAGAGAAAAGGGGGTTTGGGAAAGAAAATGAATTTTTTTTGTATTTGGGGTTGAGTGTCGGGATGGATTTATGAAGGGGGTTTAAACTAGAATTGATGAAAAAAAAGGGGGAAGGGCTTGGGTAAGTAGAGACAAAAAATGTATTATGGGGCAAAGAAGGGTATGTATGAAAGTAGAGGGGGTTTGTGAACTTGGGTTGTAAATGCTGCAGTGGGAAATGGTTGGGGCGTGGAGAGCCCTGTCCAGGGGATGTGTGGGTTAATATTATGCGAGAATTTGGAGGGGGAAATTAGGAGAAAGGGGTGGAGTTAAAAAAAGTATTTTAGAGGGTGAAGAGGGGTTGTTGGTTGGTTTGGGCCGAGAGAATGGCAAAGTAGAAATTTTCATAACCAAAAAAACTGCATTTTCCCCCCACAAATTTTTTTACTTATTTATTCTTTTTTTTTAAAAAGTATTACCCATAACTAAACTTTCTTAAAAATTTAAAATTTCCCCTTTTCTTACACTCCCCCCAAAATTTTTTACCACCCCTTTAAAATTTTCCCTTTTTCTTAGGGGCCCCCCCCAAAAAAATTTTTTCCCCTTGGCAAATTTAATTAGTATTTTCCCAAAAATTTTTTTTAATTTTTTTAGGGTTCCCTTATTTTGCCCCCTTTTTTTTTACTTTAAAAAGAATTTTTTCCCCCCCTTTTTTTCCCCCTTTTTTGGGTTTTTCAACAATTTTTAAACCCCCCCTTTTTTTCCAGGAGGGTTTTAAAAAATTTTCCCCCCCCTTTTATAACCCCCCGTTTTTTTTTTTTTAGGGCCGGGTTCCCCCCTTTTTTCTGAAAAAAGTTTTTGGGTTTGTTGTCCCCAATTTTAAGCATCCCCTTTTTAAAATTTTTTTTATCTTTTTTTGTTGCTCTAAGGGGTTTCAGATCCTTTTCCATTTTAGGCCTAAGGGAAAAGCAGGCTTTTGGGGGAAAAAAAAAAACCCCCCAAATAAAA